ATTCAAAATGCCTTCCATTACCGAAAACATGTAGTTTCAGTTTAAAAACATCAAAGCAAAGTCTTATAGGAGATCATTGAAATCTTCCATTTTAAATCCCAGCTGGAGTTTCCTGTGAGCCTTTTAGCCCAAGGGAAATCCTGGATAAACTGGGAAAAACTGTACATCCTAACCTTACCTCACTAGAGAGGCCCACTCCACAGTTTTAGCTAATTTGCAACAGTTTAATTTTTCTGTCTTTGCTATTCTTATGTGCAACCATTCTCATTCCACACTGGGTGAGTTGCATGCAGAACTCAGTTCTCTGAGAGAGGTCCACCAACGATTCACTTGTATTATATATTATGTGTACATTTAATGAATAAAATAGGGTTTCCTGTGGCTTAAGGGAGCCCGTATTCCACTGAACCACCTTTAGCTATTCACCTTTCTCCTCTCTTCAGTCTCTGTTGCAATCAAAAATTTGTTCCCTTGTTTTATCCAGAGCGTTTTTGCTCCTTAAAGCCCTTTGTGGTTGTGGGGACTCAAATATTACCTTTTTATGGGCATATTAAGATAATTTCTCAAGGAAGGAACCAGTCAGCCAGAATGCAGTGTAGCACTGACGAAACACACAACATTCCTCTAGTTCTTTAATGCTCCACCCCCCACTCCTCCACTATCATGACCCCAGCTCTACCTTACAAATCCAGCTAGACCAGAGCATGTACACTGGTATAGATAGGAGCTCTGGACACAAGGAACTTAGGCCAGATAAATCCCTCAGGAACAGTAATGAGAGTAGTGGTACCTTGATAGTAGGGGGAAGGGGAAGAGAGAAGGGGGAGGAAGGAGGAACTGATTGCAATGATTGAGGTATAATGCGCCCCCCGCGGGGGGCGGGGGGGGGGGGGGGGGGGGGGGGTCCAGAGGGAGAGACCTCAGAAACGCGCCCAACGGTCGGCGGCCAACAGCCCAGCGGAGCCGGCCTGGGGCGGCGGTGACGTCACAAACCGACGTCCTTGCGCGCAGTGTGCGTGAGGAGAGGCCGCGTGTGGGCGGAGTTGGAGGGGCGTGGCCTGCGGGAGAACGTTTGTGATTGGTGGGTTCTGCAGCAGCCGGAAAGTTTGAAGGGAAGTCTGGGAAGGGCCGTGGAGAACAAAACTCCGGTCTCACCGCTAGCCTGTAAAAGGACAAGTTACTTATCTTTCATATATGCTCACTCTTCGATGTCCGACAGGAAAATCACACACACACACTTTCATACGAAAAAAGGAAGAAAGCACAACAAAAGCAGCCCTTGCCTAGCAATTCTGAAATCCGGGACAAGTTGCTAGATCAGCCTCCTCTAGGGCAGAGGGTAGTTCTTGACCTAGGAAGGCCCTCTTCTCCCTAGGTGTGGATCCCAACTTCTTTGTGTTCTGTAGCTTTTAGTTCCAGATTCTCAGCAAGACATGCTGCCTTCATCAGCCTTTGGTTACACGTGAAGTTGCTCGTGTTGACTGCTGAATTCATTCTGCTTTGCAGAATTAGGCCTCTAGCATCTATTTTTACATTTGAACAATCTCAATCCTTCAGTCTTCTTTAGTGCACAGTAACAGGAAAAAAAATTGTTGTGAATTGGATTCAACTTCACAGCAACTGTCTTTTTGTTTGTTGTGTTCTTAAGCAGTTCCTCCACCTACACAAAATTTTAAAATATTGTTTCCTGTGTATTTGAATATAGTGCATAACATGTTTTTGACGTCACGTCACAAGTCGTTGTTTTCAGGGTATATCTTTGTGTATCTAGAAAGTTTCTATGAACTCATGCCCTTAAAATTCTCAATGCCCATTTGTCTAGCAAAGTGAATGGAAAAAAACAATAAGAAAAGGACAATCAATGGATTCCAAGAGTGAAGAATCAGAAATGTTAGGATGATAAAACTGGCAGTGGTTTCAAAGCAGCTATGATGAAAGTTGCTTCACCAACCAACTATAAATATTGGCAACAAATTAAAAAATCAAAAGATTCCGTAAACAGATGAAAAATACAAAATTACATAATATAGAAAAACAATAACTGGTGAATGAGCTAAAAAGCAGAATGTGGGAAACATCAGTGAACGGGAAGATACAAATCTTCCTATCTAAGCAATGGGTAGGGGGCAGGGACTAGAAAAAACCCCTAACAGAACCTTCAAGGATCTGTGAAATTATAGTGAAAAATCTAATATTTATGTCACTGGAGTTCTAGGAAGAGAAGAGAAAACATACTCAAAGAAAGAATTAATAAAAAGTCCAAAATTTGGCAAGATGCCTCAGTAAAACGGTGGTTGGTAGTAGTAATGTCAGTACCTACCTAACTTAAGGGAGATCATGAGAATCAAGATTAGCCCAAGACTGATTCCTACCAGGAGGAGATTCGACTCTTCAACCTCCACCAATTCTGACACCAGCCATTTCTCCTCCTGTACGCTCTACTACTGTTCTGGATTTGACAAGCCTTTGCAATGAGTGCACTGAACTCACATACTCACAGTTAAATGATTTAATATGGAAGCATCCATGAGTTAGTTAATTGTGCCAGCCTGGCCGATAATCACATGTGGGGCTGGTTGAAAGGCGGAGGGATAAATGGGTGGTGAAGCCTCATCTTTCTAGTTCTCGGGTCTCTTGCTTTGTGATGGTTGCACTGGGTGCAGCTGCCTTAGCAGTTCCCTGCTTCAGCTTGCAAGATTGACTTCCTACAAGACATCCCCAAGGAGAAGCTACATGGACCTATCCCGATGCAGCCCTGGGTGCTGGAGCAGCCGTGTGGAGACCCCTGCTAGTGCTGAGATGCTTGTTCGCTCACTGACTCAGCTTTCCTCCTGCAGTCGGCATCATTGCCTTTGTTTTGTGAGGTGGAGGACTTTGTGGACTGGTGTTGGGTTAATGGGTTAATGTTGGACTTGTGGGCTTGGGCAGCATTGGGTTGGGATGTTTTCGTGATGCACCTTTTCTTTACATAAAACTCTCTCTTATACATGAGTCGCTGTGGATTTGTTTCTCCAAAGTAACTAGACTAATACAATCCAGCTACAGCTCAGGATCAAGGTCAGAAAGCATGTCTGCAAAATCTGGACAGCTCCCCCACGTGGAAAGCACATGGACAGTTCTCTGAGCTCCTCTCACTGTGTTACTAATAGGCCCTTCTCTCTTCCATGCACACCCCTTCTTAGCTATATAAGCCACCTCCCTGCCCACTCAGGACACTTCTCTGCCTTTGGCCTTTCTGTCCTGTCTCTCTACTGCTAAGTGATCCAGCTCAGTCGGTGTAGCTGCTTTGTCTGCTGTCTTAGTTGCATTCTGAGCAGCAAGTTGTGTTCATCACCACGGGCTTTGCCACAGAACCCTTTCTGGACCTGCCTCTTTGAACTCATGGGCCTCCTGCTTTCTAAAGTGTTACAGCCCCAGGACCCACGTTACAGCTCTTTTCCAAGATGTCTTGCTTCATCTGTCTCTACATCTCTCTTCTTGCCTTTTCTCCTTTTTGTCTTTTTCTGTCCACAAACCTCTGTGGGATAGGTAAACTGAGCAAATTCCTGCTCAATATCAAGACATGTCCTTCCTAGCAGCGCTACAAACTGACCAATCCCCTTGCAGTAGGCTACAGGCTTAGTAGGCTATAGCTTGCATAAATATTTTGAAGGATCCTGTCATGTGTGCAAAACAGACCAATCACAGGGCAGGCCCACACAAAGACTATGTAGCCATAGATGTTAATAAGCTTAGCAAGGCAATATCAATCAACTTGGGCCAAAGTAACAAAATCTTCTGGAGTAGATAATAAGAGCAAAGATATGTGTTATTTTTATACTCTAAAACTCAAAAAAAAGGACCCCTAAGAACTAAAGCAAAAACCCACCACAGCCATCAACTAATTTATAGTTTAAAGATAATTGAGCAAAGACCAAACAGAATAAACCCAAATAAATACATGCTAGCATTCATCAAAATTAAATATGTGAAAATTAAAGGCAAAGAAGAAATCTTGAAAACAGCCAGAGAAAATGGACACTTTCCACATAGGGAATCAATGCAAATAAAAGGGATTTTTTTAAAAATCAGAAAGAGTGGAAAACAAAAGCAAGTGCACAAAACTCCTAGTTTTCCAGCACGTAAAAAGGGAACACAGTCCCGAATCCCATACCTAGTAAAACCATTCTTCAGGATTGAAGGGGAAATGAACACATTCTCAGATGAAAGAATTTGTCAACAGCAGGTCTACCCTAAAGGAATTTCTCTCAACAGAAAAGTTGGTATAAAAGAAGAAACTGCCATATCTGGAAGGAAGAACACAGTAAGCAAAAAGCATGAGTGAATACGATAAGCTTTTCTTGTGCTACATAATGTTGACTACATAAGCAAAGGCAGGAGCACTGGCGGCACAGTGCATTCCAATCTGAGCTGCTAAGAATAAGGTCATCAGTTTGAAACCAGTAGTTGCTCCAAAGGAGAACAATGAGTCTTTCTGCCCCCACAAAGATTAGCAGCGTAGGGAGCCCACAGGTGAAGGTCTGCTCTGTCCTGTAAGGTTGCCAAGAGTTAGAATCAACTTGGTGGCAGCTATTGAAGCAAAAACTGTAAGAGTCTAATGCTATAATATTCCTCTTATAATAAATGACCAAATGTGTAGAGTATGTATTTAAGACAGTATCTTTAAAGTATCTTCTCAGAAGTGCATGTGGCAGTTCTACTTTCTATATTATGAATTATGAATAATATAGGGAGGTAAGGTCCCTTCACTGGAACTGATAAATGTAATATCTAGTGCAACCACTAAAAAGGTATACAGAGATATACTAAAACCTTTTCATATATGAAAGGTTGAGATATATTCAAATGAAATTCCAAAATGTTTCAAGTCAGGAAAAAGAAGATAGCTGAAAAACA